ATATATATATATATCTTTTTAAAAGATGGCAGTCTCAATCAATGAAATTTGTGAAAATACTAAACTGGCTCGTGAAATGGCTTTGACTGGGAATTATGATACATCTGGAGTTTATTACCAAGGCGTTGTCCAACAAATTCATCGGTTACTTGCAAGCATTGCAGACGCTACACGAAAAGCTAAATGGCAGCTTGTACAACATCAAATTGTCCAAGAATTTGAGAAAGTAAAAGCAACTTCAAATACTTTGCAACTTTTTAAAGTTGATACGCATGGAGAAAGATTATTAGGTATCATCATTTATGAAAAATTCTTAATAAAATTAATAAAATGTAAAATAAATTATATTTAGGTACTTCGTGCTTGTCATTTGAAGAACCTACAAGAGATCCAACTTTATGGACGTATAATAATTCAGATAGTTCATGGAATCAAATGCCAGCAAGAGATCCAGATGTATGGCCGCCTTTAACACCTGCTGAACAGAAGTAATTTTATATTTAAATATACTTATTGTAGAAAGTTGTTTCAGTCTCATTTAAATAAAATTATGTTAATATTATTAAATTATAGAAACGTTCGGCCATTAAAAAATCAACCAAAACAACAAAATCGAATAAGTGTACGAAGATCTGTAACTACTGGGAAAAGACCAGATGCCAAAATTGCCAAAAAGGATGATAGAAAAACATCGAGAAAAGATGACGTAAACAAAGTAAATTTTATAATTAATTGTAATATAACGGAATATTATATATTGTATAATATATTGTATAATATATTGTATAATATTGTAGAGCATAAATATTACTTTTAGGAAAAATTGGAAACTGAAAAAGTAGATATAGAAGTAGAGGAACGCAAATTTGAACCATCTGGAAATGATAGAGATTTGGTTGATTTATTAGGTAAGCTATATAATTATATATTAACAATCTTAAGTAAAATCAATTACTATGTATTTACATGAATGTTGCAGAAAGAGATATTGTTCAAAAAAATCCAAATATTCATTGGGATGATATAGCTGACCTACATGAAGCAAAACGATTGTTAGAGGAAGCTGTTGTTCTTCCAATGTGGATGCCAGATTTTTTTAAAGTATATATAACAAAAATTGTTGTATATACTTTGTATTTCTTATAATGAAATGTAATATATATTTTTAGGGAATTCGTCGTCCTTGGAAAGGTGTACTTATGGTTGGTCCACCAGGAACTGGAAAAACAATGCTAGCAAAAGCAGTAGCCACTGAATGTGGAACAACATTTTTTAATGTATCATCTTCCACATTAACTTCGAAGTATAGAGGAGAATCAGAAAAACTTGTTCGTCTTCTTTTTGAAATGGTAATTATAATTAACAATAAAACAATGCATGACATATATAGTATTCAATAATATATGAGTAGTAAATGTATTCAAACAAAATTATATTTTAATATTTTTTAATTATGTGCATTTATGCAGGCCAGATTTTATGCACCTAGCACGATCTTCATTGATGAAATTGATTCTCTATGCTCTAGAAGAGGCTCTGAGTCTGAACATGAAGCCTCACGACGAGTAAAATCAGAACTTTTAGTCCAAATGGATGGTATAAGTTCTAATAGGTAAAATAATCTTATGTAATAAATTTATATCATATAAATTTTGATATCTAATTTTAATTTATGTAATTAATTAATTAAAGTAAAGTGTATTTTCTAGCGAAGATCCAAGTAAAGTTGTAATGGTATTAGCAGCAACAAACTTCCCGTGGGATATTGATGAAGCTCTTCGAAGACGGTTAGAGAAACGTATTTATATTCCATTACCAAATCGTAAGTTCAATTAAAATTCAATAGAAGCAATTTACTTACAATTTTTTAACAATACATTGGAGTATACAGATGAAGGTAGAGAAGCGCTGTTGAAAATTAACCTGCGCGAAGTAAAAGTGGATTTATCTGTAAATTTAGCGGATATTGCAAGAAAATTAGAAGGTTATTCTGGAGCGGACATTACAAATGTTTGCAGGTAAGACAAATATTCTCTATATTCATATACAATTTTATACATATAATACATATACGTACATTTTGCATATATTTATGTACAGAGATGCGTCTATGATGTCAATGCGGAAAAAAATAGCAGGTTTAAAACCTGATCAAATTAGACAATTACCGAAAGAAGAACTGGATTTACCCGTATCTGCTGCGGATTTTGATGAAGCTGTTGAAAGATGTAATAAGAGCGTTTCTCAAGAAGATTTAGAAAAATATGAAAAATGGATGAGTGAATTTGGCTCATCTTGATATCATTCTACTCAAAAGATATAATTTCGCAAAAGGTTGCTTATTTAGGTGAAGATTGTTTAAATTTTTTATTTATAATTATTAATAAGCAGTAATCGCAACATATTTATCAATACTGTATTAATCATATTTATCATCTGTATTGATCAGCTTTTTGATCATTTTCTAAAAATTATACGATTTTATAATATATTATCCGAAGAAAATTGCGTAAATTATATAATACTATAAAATAATTCTTTTATGAAATAATGCAATTTAATATTGTGTTATTATTAATTGAATTATAAAACTAAAATAGAAAAGATAACATTAAAGTGCTTTTATAATCCATAGATTTGTCTAAGTCAATCATTGTTTAAAGTTTTTACATTAGAATTAATTTAAGCATCTTGACATAAGTATACTATAAAAGTAAAATTAAGAGATGTTACCTAGAATTTTGAATATAATTATTTTTATATTTAAATTGTAAACAAATCAAATGAAAAGACTACAAAACTCATAAAAAATGTAAAATATGAAAAAATTAATATTATTCGCTAATTCTACATTTAAATGTAATTAAATTGTTTTTAACAATACAGACTGAAATATAAAGTTATAATTTAAAAATTTATTAAATACTTTTATAAATGTATAATACGTACAATTATATTTTAGCATTTTATACAAATTTAATTCGTACTAAGAATAATGACTAAATTGCAGATGTTTGTATAAATTTATGTTTACACGGATACTGGTAAAATATCTAAACTTAAATAAAAATATCTTATTTTCCAAATTTATTTTACTTTTTATACTTCATATATATTTATACATTTATATTTATTGTCTTTTCACGTTTACACTTTTTTTTATGTAAATACATAAACATCCGCAATTTAATAAAAATATATTAATTATTATCTCTTTAATATATCGCTATTTTTACTATGTATTTTTTGGAGCACAACCTTCTTTTCTTAAACGTTTAGTCTCTTCGTCAACATTTTTTGAATCTTTTGGTGCTTTGTAATTTGCTACGTGATCAACTCTTATTGTTCTGCCTAAGATCTAAAATGTACAATTATTATTGAAATAAATTAATTTTTGTTTTCAATATGATTAAAGAACTAATAAAAAATGATTTATTTCAAAAATATTCTTACCTTAATACCATTAAAATTATCAACAGCTAATACTGTACTTCTTTGATCTTCATAACATAAAAAACCATATCCCTTTTGTTTCCCTGTATCTTTATCCCTAATTAAATTTATATTTACCACTTCTCCATATCTATAATATAAGTAGTTAGAATCATTTTACACAGTAGTTAACATTCATTGAACAGAGATTTATAAATTATTATTAAACATTTTAAACTTACTGAGAGAATATGGCTATAACATCACCTTCTGTTAAGTCGTATGGTAATCCACCAATAAAAATCCAAGCACTATCTTTATATTGATCATGCCAAGATGTTTTTCTGTCATTTAATAGTTCTTGTTCACCAAGTTTTTGTATATTTTTTACATTCCTAAAAATATGCACAAAATTATTCTTTCTCTAAATTGAATGATTACATTTTATAAGTGAAATACTATAAAGATACTTACGTTAAAGGATTCATTTTGTACTAAAATAATATATAGAACTAATTAATATATATTTTCTAGTCAAATATTACGTTATATCATATTGTTGATGTTGTTTAATAATTACTACTAACTTTAATAATTACTAATAATTACTAAATACATATAAAATTACTTTAAATAAATTTCAATTTATTTTTATATCGTTTGTTTATAATGTAATTATATATGAAAAGTTATTGATATTTTTTATAAAAGATATGTATATATATTAATTTGAAAAAAATATGTAGTCAGAATACGAATGCATATTCAGAAACATAACCTTAAAAATAATTTTCACTGGCACGAATGGTTCGATATAAACATAAAAATATTTATTAAGAAGAAAATAATAAAAGTGTTATTATATTAATAAAAGAAATTGACATGACAAAATTAATTGAAAAACAGAATTGTTTAATATATTAACGCCTGAATTTATTTACTAATTATTAATATAATAAAAAATGACACGAAATCATACAAAGTCTTGTTCTATGATTTACAGAAAGAATTGCAATGAGAATTAAATTACAATACCTCAAAGTTATATGGAATAAAAACTATGAAAATCAATGTATTTTAAGTAAATATAAGTGATTCTTATTTCATAAAAAGACGGAATATGGTTTTAACAACAAAAATGTCACACAAAGCAAATAGAATTTCTTATCACTACCACAATGTTTTTGTTATATGTTTGCTAATGTTTACATTGTTTATAATTTTAATCACAGCATATCATATATTTAAATTTGGAAGTACACAAAAACGCTCTGTATATAATGCAATTGTTCTCAATGATCTGCACTCGTTGCCTATTCAAGTAATAGATGCAGATTTTCCAATGGCAGACACTACAAATATATCTTGCACATACTTCAGCTGTTTCAATGTTTATCGCTGTGGCAGTCAAGGGAATAAACTTTTAGTATACGTTTATCCACCAAAAATTTATATAGATTCATCAGAGAGACCTGTAACAAGTCAAATAACAAAAGAATTTTATCAAATTTTAAATACCATTATCTCAAGTAAGTTTTATACACCAAATCCATATGAGGCATGTATCTTCATTCCTTCAATTGATACATTGAATCAAAATAGATTAAAATTGCAAGAAGTTTCACAAGCATTGAAAGCTTTGTCATTGTAAGTTTTCATTTTATTTTGTATTTCAAGGAACAACATGCATATTTTTAATATACCATCTAAATTTCAGTTGGAATAATGGAGAGAATCATTTAATATTTAACATGATACCTGGAAGTGTACCTGATTATAATACAGTCATTGATGTACCTGTTGGGAAAGCAATGATTGCAGGTGCAGGAATGTCATCATTAACGTATAGATCAGGTTTTGATATTAGTTTACCAGTATACAGTCCTCTTGTAAATAATTTTAAACCGAATTTTAATAATAAAAGGTACTAAGATGCTTATATATCTTTTTTTATTTATCTAAAATAATAAATACTTGTATATTTTAGACCATGGTTAGTTATTTCATCTCAAATGAACATTAATTCTGCTTTTGAACAAGATTTATTAGAAGTTAAATCTATATCACCAAAGGATATTTTAATATTAGGAACATGTCTGCATTATAGTTCTATGAACAGTGCAAACAGATGTGCAGGAGAAGAAGTCTATAAATACCCTAATGTGCTTCAAGTATGTAAGATTTTAATAATCACTATTAAACAACATCTTTTTATTGTACAAGATTAAAACATCTTTTTATTTATTGCTGTTAGACAGCAACATTTTGTCTAGTAATTCGAGGTGCAAGGCTTGGTCAGAGTACGCTTTTAGAATGTATGGCAGCAGGTTCTATACCTGTAATCATAGCCGATTCTCTTATAATGCCTTTTCATGGTACAA